TCTCTCCAGCCCCCTGTTGCTTGTTTGTTTGCTTGCTTGCTTGCTTGTTTGCTTGTTTGTTTGTTTTTAAATAAGGTCAGTTCATCCAGGTTGGAATCCTAATCTTATCTCCAGTCCAGGAGTCAGCTCCTTCAGTGTGCCCACTAAACAGATCCGCCATAGGATGTCACAGAGAGGAGGTGGCTGGGGAACCGCGCAGCGATTGCTAGGCGGAGAGCCGGAGTTTCTGTGAGGCAGGAGAGCTGTAGAGAGAACAATAAAAACCCAGAGACACATACGGGGGTGCACCTGAAGACCAGAGCAGCAAAGCAGCCAGCACCTAAAGAGCTCTTACCTCCACGACATTTTCAGACTGAGAGAGAGCGAGTTCCTGTCTTGTCCCACCTGGGATTTATCTGCTGGGATTAAAGGCATGCACCACCGCCGCCCCGCCTCTATGGCTAACCAGTGTGGATGCTGGAATTAAAGGTGTGTGCCACTGTCGTGGCGGACTAGTGCAACTGTTCTGCGTTCTGATCTCCAGGCAAGCTTTATTTATTAAATTACAAATGGAATATCACTACAGTGAGTAGCGACTAATCAAGTACCTCAGGACTCCATTGTCCAAGCTAAAACATTACATTGCCCAAGGTGGGTCTAAAACACATAGCCATAAGATTAACAGTCTCAAGTTCGCAGGCCGAGGCAGCCTGGTCTACATAGTTCCAGAGCAGCCAGGATTACCTGATCTCTCAAAAAAAAAAAAAAACAAAAAAACCAACAACAACAACAACAACAACAACAAAGGGGAGGGGGAGATTCTTATGCTCTACTGACTGAGCTATCAGCCGGGAAACCACTATAAGCCTTTATATATATATATAGCCTAAGAGCACAAGTATAAATCCGTTTTGCATATGAAGTTTAAATTTCTCATCCAGGCATCTGCCTACCCAAAGAGCTGCGTCTTCAATATGCTCTCACCTAAGCCGAGGCCAGAGATTGGATTTGCAGGCACAGGTTTTAAGGATCTTTCTGACTCAAGGCATTTTCAGCGAGCGCCCCTCCAACAAGCTAGTGTGACCAGCTGCGAAGAGTTTGAAGACTCCTACAAAATTCAGCCTTCAGTATTCAGAGCTGATGTGTCAGAGTAAAGTCTGGATCTCTTTAGCGTCTAAGAAAGAAGTAGGGAATGGACGTTTGAAGTGACTGTTTTGAAAAACAAAATTAGTTTTTGCAAAACAGCCACGGGCTCGTCCGGGATTTGAACCCGGGACCTCTCGCACCCTAAGCGAGAATCATACCCCTAGACCAACGAGCCACGTCGATATCTACTCTAGTTCACCTTTATGGCGGTCGTTGAAACAGGGGTGTGCCTGGCAGAGCTCGGTAGAGACAACAGTTAGGCTTTAGATATTCTTGGAAGGGCAAATTCCGGGACTGTGTCTGCCGAGATATTCCAATTTTCCAATTTCCTCACGACCTACAAAATGGGGAACAGCCCTGGGTTCCACAGTCGGTGTCCCCTTGTCTACGGGAAGCAGGGCTGGGATCAGCTTTTGCCCACGCGGCAGCTGTCTAGACGCCAAGTTCTCTCCCGCCGATTACACGGAACCCCATCGAAGAGTCAGGAGGCAGCTGCGTGGAATGTCCTTGACCACGTCTCCTTGGCCAGGCAGCAGCTCCAGAGCGCAGTAAAAGTCGGCTGAGCGTCGGAGGTACCTCGCCCCTCGCCACTTCTTCCCTTTTGCATCCGACCTGCCCATCGGGGCCAAAATCAAAAGTCCCCAGCCAGGTGTAGTGGCTCATGTCTTTAAGTTTCGAGACCATCCTCGCCCTCATGAGTTTCAGGACAGGCAGGGTTTCATAGGAGAACTCTATCTCAAGAAAAAAGAAAAGAAGGGAGGGAGGGAGGGAGGAAGGAAGGGAGGGAGGGAGGAAGGGAGGGAAGAAGAAAAAGAAAAAAATAAAAAAAAAGAAAAAAAGAAAAAAAAAGAAAAGTAAAAAGAAAGGAAGAGACTTCGATTTGGGAGTGAAAACTCCACGAGGTGCACTCACAATCTCAGGTCCAAGAAAAAAGTGTCCATGTCCCTCCCTCCCGTTCTCCCTCAACTGATGAAAAAAGCTGCCTTTGAGAAACCAGCGACCAAGACCAGAGTGGAGAGAGGAGTGTCTGTCCTTCCTGCTGTCTTTTTTTCATTTGACCTTCCGAGAATCCTGCAAATCTGTTTGAAAGTGTACCCCAACCCACACAGGCTGGTCTCTGATGTCCGTGTTTCTCTTCTATTTTAAGGGACTTCACAGATCGGCTCCCCGAATCTGCCGGTGAAGGGGGTGGGGGGAACCGTGTATAAAAATACAGAGGCAACTCCACAATGGGCTCGTCCGGGATTTGAACCCGGGACCTCTCGCACCCAAAGCGAGAATCATACCCCTAGACCAACGAGCCAACACGCTCTTGCCCTTTCCCCCCTCCCTTCTCCAAATGAGGTGACGCTTCTGTCGTTTATTTTTTTTCCCTTAGTTTCTCGGTTGTCCAGTACGAACCTGCATAGGAACCGTAAGGACTCACCGGTCCACCGCCACTGTGAAATCTCCAGGGTGAGCGCTAATTCAGTGAGATAAACCAAGGAAGTGATAAGCTGGCAAATTTTCCATTCTCTAAATCCTAACTAGCGTGGAAGAGAGATGGGTTTACGGGTCATTAAATTAGAAGACATCCTAAGCAGGATACTGATACGAGAAAACACAAAGCAAAGTGCAGGCATCTTCCATTTTCCAAAACGATAAATAGCAATCAAAACAAAACACAAAACTGATAAACCAAAGACTTATAAATTGACTACATAGATTTAAAGTCCTTAAATATATCTCTCTCTATCTATCTATCTATCTATCTATCTATCTATCTATCTATCTATCTATCTATATGTAGATAGATATTTAGTCAGAAGTGGTGACAAACGCCTAAAATCCCAGTATGTGAGATGGTGAATTTAGGTGAGTTAGGAGTTCACGACTATCTTTGGCTACCCAGTGAGTCTGAGGCCAGCCTGAGCCACACGAGACCCTCGAGGATATATAGGTATTTCCTTGTCATGTGGCAAGAAAAAGAAATGGAATCCTAGAAATTGATATCTATGATCTCAGCTCTATCTCTTTCATCTCTGAGACAGGTTCTTGTCAGAAATGCCTAGGCTAGTCCCAAAGTCATCCTACTACAAACGTATAGTCCTAGACTGCTCCTAAGTGGACTAGGCGAGAAAGGGAAGCTTTGAAGTGGAGGTTAAACAAGAAGTTCTTCCGGCCTGGGAAGAGTTTCAAAACCCAAACCTGCTCACCTCTAACTCCAGGCTGTGAAGTCAGTCTGGGTTGTACTAAGGCCCCGTCTCAGAGCAACACTGTAACTATTTCCAAGGGCTGAGGTAACAAAGTACCATAGCCTTAACTCAGTCTGTTTTCACGGCCAGCGCTCTCCTCCCATGGCTGAGCCGCCACTGCGGGCCTCAGAACTGTAAGCTAAGGTTCTAAGGGTACCAAGCTGACCACACAGGCAGAGGTTTTGTGAAATTCCCCCAAGGCTGTTCCGGCTGGCGGAAAGGCTGGGCAATCCAGAAATCCGGAGCCTGGGCTCCTGGGGTCCTGCTTCCTTGACTGCACTAGGTACCTCTGGAAGGAGCACCCACCCGGCTGCAGCTTAGAACAGAGTTGGGACTCCCACACTATTGAACTGTGGGATTCCTCCACCCGGTTCTGTTTGGTCAGACCTGAATCAACATCTTTCAAATTAAGACCCCGTGGGGAATTGGGTCAAGGCTAGTGCTGTGCTAGGGTGGAGTCAGGCCCAAGGATGACCAAAAGCGAGCAGAGAAACAAGGGTGTGTGTGAGTTCATTGGCCCAATCTATGATTCTGCTTAGAGTACAAGAGGACCAAATGCTGGAGAAAATTAGATCCTCGACGTTTCTTTCCTCTTAGGGGACACGCAATAGCTCTGAGTCCTGGCAGACATCTTCTTAGACTGGAGAAGTAAACCAACTTAGTGGTGTTGGAATTCAGAGCGAGACAAGAATTCACAACGCCACCCAAGAGGGTCAGGTCCCAGGCACCACCCACTGAGCTGGCTAGGCCACCATATGCTAGTTGGAGATTTGTTTTCTTTGATCCGAGGTATCAGATAATACAGCTGCTTCTAAAGGCCCTTTTAGGATTCCCAGCGTCCTGCCAATACAGCCAGCAGACCCTGGGACTGAACCTTCCGGATGCAGACAAAATTATATGGTTGTGAACAATGGAACTGGACTCCAGGGGAATGAGGCGCTAATCCTACGTATTATCCAACTGCCTGAGCTACGGCAGCGTCTCCTAGTATTGGGCGTCCGGCGGGACTGTTTGGCCATGCTTTGGGGAGATTTGGGGGCAAGACTTAATTAATGGACGTTCCTTGCCTCCTCATTGCTCTCTGGCCACGAAACCCAGCCTCCACAGCGGTCTCAGCCACCAGGCAAGGACTTCCCCAAAGTGCAGCTTTTTCCCGAGGTTCGGGCTCCTTCGGAGCTGGCTCTGGGTCAGACTGCCAAACTAATCCCTACCCCACAGTCCAGGCAGCGGGCGCAACTTATTCGGGAATGAATACAGGCCTATAAGGAAGTGTCAGGAACACTAAACTGTGTGGCTCGTTGGTCTAGGGGTATGATTCTCGCTTCGGGTGCGAGAGGTCCCGGGTTCAAATCCCGGACGAGCCCTGGAGGGGGTCCAGTTTCCCAATATTTTTATTGCCACATTTAGAATTCGGTCAAGTTCGTGTTACTGATTTCCAGTTGTGTAACTTGAACCCAATGGAAAAAAACATTGCGCCCAACGTGGGGCTCGAACCCACGACCCTGAGATTAAGAGTCTCATGCTCTACCGACTGAGCTAGCCGGGCTGCTGTACAAAAGCCATCACTGAACTAGCTGGACTGTCTGAGGAACTGCCCGCTGAGACCCGTTTTTCTAGGTGTTTTTGGTTTTGTTTTTTTAGTGAAATCGCGGCAAAAAAAATTCAGAGTGAAGAACAATGTGGGCCTCAACAAGGGCCACAAGGTGACGAAGAACGTGAGCCAGCCGAGGCACAGCCGGCGGCGCGGGCGCCTCACAAAGCACACCAAGTTCGTGCGGGACATGATCCGGGAGGTGTGCGGCTTCGCGCCCTACGAGCGGCGCGCCACGGAGCTGTTCAAGGTGTCCAAGGACAAGCGCGCGCTCAAGTTCATCAAGAAGCGGGTGGGCACGCACGTAAGCGCCAAGAGGAAGCGGGAGGAGCTGAGCAACGTGCTGGCCGCCATGAGGAAGGCGGCGGCCAAGAAGGACTGATTCCCCCCTTCGCCCCCGTTCCCAATAAACGTTGCTGTGGCCCCCCCCCAAAAAAAAAAAAGAACAGTGAGAGCACCGGATCTCCTGGCAAGAATCTCAGACTCGTGGGTTCGAGAAGAGCACCCTGGATGGGCAGAGGCGCTGGGCCGGGCTGCCGCTGGGAGACCAGTGTGTGATCCATCGAGGCCTGAAATCTCGAGTTTTACTCCCGATGCAGGGCGTCTGCGCCAAAAGGTATAAGCTTCGCTCAAACGATCGCACCGTCTTCAGAGACCAGAAACTTGAAAGTTGCTTTGAACCCGTGAAGTCCATGTCAAGGACTGTAGGTCCGTGAAAACATGGGGGCGTGTGTATTCCTGCAAAGGTTCATAAGGATGAGTCTTCTCTCGGCCTCTGCGAGTTCTCTGGATCAAACCCAGCAGGAGGCCATAGTTTTTATTACCCATCTGCTAGGTAGAGTACGTAAGGGTGGGGGCTTTTTAAAATTTATTTATTCTTTGGCAATTTCATGTATTTATGTAATGTTTGTTGGTCATTTTGTCGTCGACTCCCTCCAGACCGGTCCCCCATTATTCCCCAAAAGCCTTCCTCCTATTTTCGTGCCTTCTTTTTTTCTTGCATGTGTTTTAATTTTGGTTTTGGCCTATTACCCACTGAGCTTTAGTAGGCTGCGTGCAAGAGCATGGGTGGAGGGTGAGTTTCTGAAGCATGACCTCCCCACCCCAGCAACAACTACAGCCTACAGCCCCTCGAGGGGGTGTGAGGGTCTCATGAGTGGGGAAGGCAAGAAGAAAGTCAAGGGCTGGTGTTTGGCAGCGTATCCCTCTGTGTTTGAGCGCAGTGTGTGGGGTCGGACAAAGACAAGAGCATCCATCAGTTTCCACCGCTGGGGAAGTAGGTACTGCCGCTTTGCTGTCTCTGCATGGTTGCAACTCAACCTGTACTACTAAAAGTAGGCAAGACAAGACTGCTGAGAAACTACATCAGGGTAGAAGAGACGAGAGAGAATCTCTAGCAAGACTCCAGAGAGCTGATCACAAAGTCAGGAGAAGGGTGTTTGCACCAATCACAGCACACCTCACGTGCAAATGAGGCTTGCGTTTGCACCAATCACAGCATTTTCTTTAGAACTAAACACACTAATTCCTCCTCTAGATTATGAGATGTGCTTGCTCCCTTTCTGTCCCCGGATGAGTTCACGCAGGTTTATGATTGCAAAAAGACTGGTGGAACAGGAAATAGCCCTGGCTGAAGCTGCGCCCTTGGGAACTGAAACAATCGGCTGTGGTCAGCATTGTGTGGGTTCTGTAAGGATTTCAGCCTGTGTTACAGACAACTGGTGCCGCCGTGGGAGTCTGACTGACACAGTACTTTTGCTCAAAGCAGCTAGGGCAACAAGGGAGAGTCTAAGAACTACTAATTAGGAATTCGTATTGTCCCATCACTAATGTCTTTACTTACTTAAAGAACAATGAACATCAGAAGAGGGGCTTACATGAAGAATCTAGTTGGCACGGTGGAGCGCGCCTTTACTCCCAGCATTCTGGTGTCACAGGCAGGCAGATCTCTGTAAATTTCAAGCCAGCCTGGTCTACATACAAAAAGCCCAGGCTCAGTGAGACCCTGACTCAAAAAATGAAAGTGATCAGACAATCGGGTAGCACTAGATTCTTGGGTTCACTAAGCTAGAGTGTCACTCACAAGCAAAGAGAGATAGGTGGGTCCCTCTGCTTAGGACTAGACCCAGGATACAGTTCTTTTGAGTGCATTGTCCCCTAACTCCAAGTCTGGCAGTGTGAGTCCCCTCTAACTTTATCTATTCTGTTCATTTGTTGAGGTCCTGCTCTTGTGTAAGTAGATACTTTTGGACTTCCGGTTTGCTAGCTGTGTATGGATGGCTCTTCATGATAACTCAGTTGTGCTGGACAAGGTGTTTCACAGTAGTAACCCCAGCCCTTGGGAATCAAGGACAGTGCGGGCTGCTTAATGAGTTCCAGGCCAGCCTAAGCCACAGTGAGACCTGTCTCAAAAAACGAAAAATAAAAACTCATCCTCAGCCGCCTAGACAGAACACAGGAGGCTGTCACAAAACAGAGCAAAACAGAAAACAACAACAAAACAACATCTGGACTAGGTGACAGAATTTCTCCCCCAAAATATATGTATAGGCCAGATAGATTGGTGGTGGTGTGTGCCATTAACCCCAGCACTCAAGAGGCAGGGGAAGGTGGTTCTCTATAAGTTGAAGGCCAGCGTGTTTCAAAACAAACAACGACAAAAACCTGCAGGTTACCTAGGACCTCACAGTACAGGGGTCTTTAGAGATATAATTAGCAAAGTTGAGTGTGTGCTGTCTGTACTACTACGTGTACTACGGTACTATGCCTGTAGTGTGGAGCCTGCACTACAGGACCATTCCCGAGCTGGGCAAGGGCCTGGAGATTTAAACACACAAAGACACACAGACAAAGACACAGGTCACCCTTGAAACAAGAATGCCCCCTTTATTGTGTACCAGAGCCGGTTATATATGGATCCTTAACTGATAGCCACGCCCCAGCCAAACCCACCAGAAACCACTCCCCTGCCATCAGGAACTCCTGAGGGTCTCTGGCTCAAAGGAGCTGCAAACACGGGAAAACAAGTTGTTTTGCTCAGAGCAGCTACCAGCTTAGCAAACTGTTTACAGGAAATTCGGGGTCTGGGTTCACCGCCCCCAACAGAGTGAGGCCATAGTGAAGTGGCATGAGCCCTGATCCAATAACTGAAGCAGAGGTAAGAGTGGGGAGAGTCACACAGTGGGGAGAGACTGCTAGGCTGACGGAGACAATAAAGACTGCATGGAGCAGGCTTTCTAGGAGCCACCAACCGGCTCCCGAATCATGACACAGAGACTTATTGTTAGGTATGAACACTCAGCCTTATCTTATGCCAGCTCTTACAACTTAAATTAACCTGTTTCTCTTCATCTACACTTTGCCTTGGGGCTTTTACCTCTCTTTCATTCTGTATGTCCTAGTCCATGTCTGGTTGGCTGCTGCCTGGCTAACTGGCCCCAGGCAGATCCCTCTTTTTCTCCCTAGTTCTCTCCCTCTGCCCTCCTCCTATTCTCTCTGCCCACTAACCCCCCATCTATCCCTCTACTGGCTAGCTATTGGTCATTCAGCTTTTTATTGGACCAATCAGGTGCCTTAGGTAGGCAAGGTGAAACAGCAACACATCTTTATATAATAAACAAATGCAACATAAACAAATGTAATGCACCTTTACATAGTTAAAGTAATATTGCACAACAATTGCAGACAGCAATGAGAGTCTGAGAGAGACAAGGAAGGGTCTTCCTTGGAGTCTTGAGAGGAAGCAGAGCTTGCAAGTGTCTTGAGGAAAAACTGCTGGCTTCAGAATGGCAAGAACACCTTTCTGTTTTAAGCCACCCGGTTTCTAGTAATTTGTAACAGCAGCTATAGGAAACTAATCAGTCCACCGTAAGATGTTTTGGAGTTTTGTTTCAAAAGCTGTAATGGTGTATGAGATCTATCTATCAGACAAATGAACTCTCTCTTAACTTTAGAGCACTGTTCAAATTTCCATTAGTGCTGAGCAGTGTGGCTCATGCCTTTAATCCCAGCACTCAGGAGGTAGAAGTAGGTGGATCTCTGTGAGTTCCAGGACAGCCTGGTCTACAGAGTGAGTGCCAGGACAGCCAGGGCTACAGAGAAACCCTGTCTTGAAAAATAAAACAACAAAATTACTGTTAGTGGGTTTTTTGTTGTTGTTGTTGTTTGGTTGGTTTTGGAGTTGGGTTTTCATTTGTTTTGTTTTGTTGGTTTTTTGAGACAAGGGTGTGTGTGTGTGTGTGTGTGTGTGTGTGTGTGTGTGTGTGTGTGTAGTCCTTGCTGTCCTTGAACTCACTCTGCAGACCAGGCTGTCCTCAAACTCACAAAAATCTTCCTGCCCCCTGAGTGCTGGAATTAAAGGCACGTGCCCCCACACTCGGCTCAAATCATTATTGGTGTAGATGATTGCCCTCCAGTTCTTACTGTAAGCAAAGACACTAAAGATGGGTCCTTGTGACTCCCGAATTAGCAGCTCCCAGACTCTCCATTGCTGCTCTGGCTGCCTAGGGAAATGACTTGTCTTTATGGCCAGCACAGCCATCAGGGACAGTCCGCGGAAACTTAAAAACGAGCTGCTGATCACAACTGCTTTGCCTGGGTGTGAAGGTGTAACCTCAGCCAAACCTGTTCCAAACAGCTTGGACCAGACTTCCTGCTAGCTCACACCGAGGTGAACAAACTCATGACCCTGCAATCATGGCCACCTGGGCCAGAGAAACCACATTCCCCACAGTCTAGCTGAGAGATGGTTGTGACTGGCCCAAAACACAAGCCATGATGGCTGTGGTTGGTGCTAAAGAAGGAAGGTTGTGGTTGTTGGAAACAAAAACCTCTGCTTGCACATCAGGCTGCCTCCTTTGGCTGTTGAGTCCACTTGGAAATCACTCTCACGAAAGGCCCCTCCCTTCCTATGCTGCTTCCAACATCAGGCCTGATGCAAGGCACCTCTCAAGTGGTTTTGCTAACTTTTACTAGAGCAGGTTGAGTTGGTAAGACAAAAAAAGACTAGCAGACAATGTAAGGGAGTTACAGGAACAGTCTTCCCAAAGGAAACTAACAGCAGACAGAACAGGGACAAGGGAGGAAAGGCAGGGGTAGATGGCGCAGAGCCGAGGTTTCAATGATAGACAGGCCCAGTCCTGGAAGCTGGCATGAGGGCTGGAACACTAGAGGGTGCCACCTCATGCTCTTACGTCACAGGTCTCAGCTGCAGAAGCTGGGGCTCGAAGAGCTTGTCCTCACCTACCCACAGTTTTTGAATAGAGCAAAACCCAGCATGTAATTCGAAATGCCTAGGACAGTGAGCATAATTGGGTTGCTGAATTTTTTTTCCCCTGCTTTTTCCCCCCCCCCCCGTTTCTGTTTCCCAAATGCTGGGATTATAGGCGTGCACTGCCACCCCCAGCTACAATTATAGGTGTGACCCACCAC